CACGGCTACATAGCATCAATTCTCCGGTACGGCATTATTATATGGGGTAATTCTGTTGATATCATTAAAGCATTCCGAGCCCAGAAAAAATGCATTAGATCAATAACTAAAGCCCAACCATTAGAAAGCTGTGTCCCACTCTTCAAACATTTAAAAATATTACCACTCCCATCTTTATACATATTCGAACTCTGTATCTTTGTACATAAAAATAAAGCTTTATTTCCAGTACATAATGATGTTGTTACAAGAAAAAGCCGAAATATCCACAAATTATGTGTACCCCAACAAAGGATTAAATTATTTGCCAATAATGTTTACTGTATGGCAATTCGTGTTTATAATAAATTACCTAATGTTTTTAAAAACCTTAACTTCATGACATTTAAAAAGAAATTATTTGACTTCCTATTGTATAAGTGTTACTACTCAACAAATGAGTTTTTAAATGAAAAATTTGACTCAAATTATAAATTAGACGACGACTTGCCTTTATATTCTCAATAATTAAATTCAATTTAATACCTATAACATTGCTTTGAATAATTTTTTACATTGTATTTTATAATCCTCAAGTATATTTAATAATTCTTGACATATTTTTTAATCATTTTTGACATTGTATATAATAATTCTTGACATTGTATTTACTAATCCTTCCTGAAAATATTTGTACGCTGGAAACAGCAGAATATTATGAATGTCATATTATGTCTAACACCTGTACCTCAACAATATTCTGACAAATAAATATATTATTATTATTATTATATTATTATAGACTCGGCTTTGCTTTTGGACTGTTTTTGTTTACTATCACGTTGACCTTGGCTCTTCTATTCCGGACATTGATTGGACATAGCGATTTGGACTCGATTTTGGTGTTTGTTGTTATATTGTACAAACTCTGTTTTAACATGTCGAAAAGAGGACGTCAACAGCCAATCACGCGAATTGGTTGTGAAGTTTACCGAATACTTCGAACGCGAATCAGTTAATGGTGGACCATTATTACCCGTAACTCAAGTGCAAGATCGCGTAGTAGAAGCACTTGGAATCGGCAAAAAAACTATTCGAACCATTTTGAAGGAAAAGTATGGGTCTTCCGGTACTGAAGAAAATGTGTTACATACGCCTAAGAAGAGGAAGAAAAGCAAGCCTGTAACAGGTATTGACACATTTGACGCAGATGCTATTCGAAACCACGTATATGCTTATTACACGAGAAGTGAGTAGCCAACTGTAAGTAAGTTGGTGGTATCACTAAGAGAGGCTGGCCTGTTTAGTGGCAGTGCAACATCTTTAATAACAATTATGAAGCAAATTGGTTTCAAATACAAGAAAACCGACAAGAGGAAAATTATGATGGAACGATATGATATAATTTTGCAAATGAACAAAATTACAAATTGGGATAATGTCATATTTATCGATGAAACTTGGCTGAACTCGAATCATACCGTGCCACAGTCATGGACGAATGATACCAAGGCATCTTGTTCAAAAGTGCCAATGGGTAAGGGTGGACGCCTTATAATCTGCCATGCCGGATCAGCCGGGGGAGGTTTTGTGCATGATGTTCTACTCGCATTAAAGTCCAGAAGTACAAAAGAATACCACGAAGAAATGGGTGCAAATAAATTCTTAGAGTGGTTTACTAAGTTGTTAATAAACCTCCCCGAACAGTGCACAATAATTATGGATAATGCACCTTACCATTCAGTTCAAATAGATAAGGCATCTACTCAAGCAAGCAAGGCAGATTTAGTGGCGTGGTTACAAAGAAAAGGCGTAGAAGCTGATATGAATTTATTGAAAGCTGAACTGCTGCAATTAGTAAAACAAAATAAACCTGCAAAATTAAGATATAAAATCGATGAATTGGCACTTCAACATGGTCACAAATTGATAAGAACGCCGCCGTACCATTGTCAGTACAATGCTATTGAATTAATCTGGGCTCAGGTCAAAGGATACGCAGCACGTCATAATACAAAGCCACCATTCTCCACTAAGAATATGATGACATTGTTAAAAGAAGCTTGTGATAAAATAACTAAAGAAGATTGGGCAAAAGTGGTAGAAAAGACGCGAAAAATAATAAAGGAAGATTATGATAGAGACGTCAATATTGATAATATTATAGAAAATGAAATAATTATATATACAGGCGACGATAGCTCATCTGGCTCGTCATCAGAAGAAAATGATTGATTTAACTTTTCTTGATTTTGTTGTGATTGAGCTAAATTTTTTAATTAAAGACAAATTGACATTTCTTTCCATTGTATCATTTCAAATTGCCTATAACATTAAAGTTTAAGTTATATGTTCTAATTATAACTTAAATCCAATGCACTTTGTGATATATAGTCAAATCAATCAAATACTCTACAAGCTTGAATCGATTTATCGTAAGTATCGTGCACCGAGTCGTATGGTTAATCACTAGTTACGCCACCATGACAAATGTCAAAACGGGCTTCTTATTTTGTGACGACTGTAACACACTACTATGCACGAACACTTCCAAGAGCTTCCTATTCAGTCTTGTCAGGGGTTAGACATGTTTCTTTAAATACGTGGGTGGGTAGTAAAGATTTGTCGGCAATTATAAAGCCTAACATTGAAAACATTACATCTGCAAAGCGATGTTACAATATTTTTATTTTATTTTATTTTAAACTTTATGCACATGTTGTACAAAGGCGGACTTAATGCCATTAGACATTCTCTCCCAGTCAACCTTCAGGTTATGTAGAAATATGATGCGGTAGGTGCAAAATAAAATATTAAATTTAACATAATTTAGGCCCAGAGACATACACAAAATGTACAAGAGAGCGCGCCACTGTGCTACTGTCTACATCGGGTCCGTATCAAAAGTGCTAATAAAAATAATATAAGTGCAAGAAAGTTGTTGAAAATGTGTAAATATGTTCGTGAAACTATAACGTGTAACGATAATATAAAGGCAATCGTGGTCAATAAGTGCATCTCAAGGAATTTTGAAAATAACAATACAACGAACTTTTTTAGTGAAAGTGTTTAACAGAAACCTACACCAAATTACTAGTAATATTGGCAACCAATGCACTTCTGCATAGGGAAACTGTGATAAAACAAGCTTAAACAATCACATATCTATAAACAAATTCACAAAAAGGTTAACCAAAAGCACAAATCATCTTACAAAACGCCTAGTTACGCTATCTACCGGCAAAACACAAATACATCCAAAACTACACAGTCTATTATAACAAATTATTGACTCGAAAGATCAAAGTGTTACAACATAAATCTGACAGAGGACGTTGACAACTACTATATTAGAACATTACTCTCCTGCGGACCATACCTACTGTCGTCCCGATTGCCGTTCCGTGCGAAGCTCGGTGTGTACAAGGCGTACATTCGCACCCGACTAACCTATGGTGCCCCGGCTTGGTTTGCGCTCGTCTCCGAGACGAACCGCCGCCGGTTGCGTGCGCAGAAGTCACTCACACTACGCACCCTTACCAATGCCCCTCGCTTTGTGCAGAACAGGACGATCTCCAGGGATCTGCGCGTGGAAAGCCTGGATGACTTCGTGAGACGCCTGAGCACAAATCTGTTCGTGCGTGCCGATGGCTCGCAAGCCCGCCACCTGCGGGACCTCGCACCCCGCTCCTCGGGGTCCCCATCCCTCGGAGCCTGACCTCGCCAAGCACAGGGGGTGACAATAGACTAGACCCGGGCGTGGCTAGCAAGCTGGTCGCCCGCGGGACTCACTCGTACGGGCCCGACCTCGTTAACCACGCCCCCCCCCCCCCCCTACTATTCTGACAATCTGGAACTACCAAGCAGGCCTATCTGGGCCCGACCCAGTGACCCGCATGCAGTGGCAGGCGGCGCGGAACACCACTTGGACAGGCCGTAGACCTGGAGATGTTACCCCGAGACCCTAGCTGGGGTCTACGAGAAGAAACCACGAGAGAGAACATTCCTCAATGTATGATATCGAATCGAACCAAATCAAGGAGAAATTCTCGAAGTCTAACAGAGGGCGCTGTGGGTAGGTCTCAATCTACAATATCTAATCAAATCGAGGTATTACATACTAAGCCTAACAGAGGATGCTGACCATAGTTAACAACGAAAACTACACATTTTAATAAAACGTATTAAATCTAGGTGCTACGCTCTAAGTTTAACAGAGGGCACTATACATAACATTTATTAAAAATATAAAAAAACAATGGTATCCAACTGCGCTGGATGTAACCAAACATTAGAAAGTGCCGAATCATTAAAATGTGCACTATGTAAAAATTCTTACGATCTTGAGTGTGCTAATGTTCCTAGTAAGCAATTTAAAAATTCGATGACTGAAATTCAGAAGAAAACATGGAAGTGCCAATCTTGCCGCTGTAAAATGCCAAAAGCCGACAATTCCAATACACCTATACGCCCCCAAGATCGAGAAAATATCCAGACAATTCACACCCCAACCGATACGAACATTATAACTATAAGAAAAAGGACTAAATTTTCTAAAAATGACACTGATTGCTCAGCGGACCTAAGTACACTGGGTGACACAGTGTATCCAGATGACAACGCAATAACGACGCAAACCGATATACAAAATGAATTAATACTAACAAATTTAAATGAAATAATTATACAACGTTTGAAGGACAACAATACATTATTAATAACAGAGTTGAAAAACACAATACAGGCAGAAATAAAGAAATCTATTGAAGAGCTAAGAAAAGATATGGACAACAAAACGGATATCTTATCAAAAAAAAATGAACAAAGAAAGGACGATATAAAACAATTACATTCTGACATATAGGCATTAAAAGCAAAGAATGAAATATTGCAAAAAGAAATAAAAGACTTGTCTACAAAAGTACAGTCACCTAAAGTAATGTGTGTATGGTTTTGCTGAATGTATCCAGGAGTACGAGTACAGCCTACTCAATAGACTAGTCAATCTATTTCGTGAAACAATGAACGTGGACTTGATGGGCTACGTGGAGCATATGTATAGGGTGGGAAAATACAAAAACAATCCGTCGGCCCAATTACTGAGCAAAAAGATGGCCAAATACATTATAAACAACGCACAACGTCTAGATGGAACAAGGCTGTTTATTTCGGAATTCTTAGATGAGAACACACGAAAAGAAAGATACGAAGGTATAAGAGAAGAGATGAAAGAAGCACAAAGAAGAGGCCAACATGCTATTATACGTAACCACCAACTATTCATAGAAGGTAGAAAAATAGATAGGAAGCTAGACGCTGGAAATCAAAACTACACTAAAACATACAATGCAAAAGAGAATAAAAAAATACAGAGCGACAGTATCGAAACACACAGCTACATAACAAGTACAAGAGGAAACTCATTGAACAATTCCTTTCGTAGAAACAGACCCACAATGTAAAGTATTTTTTCAAAATATACAAGGCCTGTATAACAAGTTACATCTCTTCGAAGCACTCACTGAAGAAAACCAAACGTATATGGCGATATGTATATCTAAGACCTGGCTATCACCGTACCAATTAGAAACTGTACAAATTAACGGCTACAAGATAGCATCCTCCTACTCCAGGAGCAATCGGATACGAGGCGGAGTGTGTATCCTATTGCAAGAGAACATAGAACACAGGGAAATAAACGAAATTACACATATGACAATCGAGTGTATTATAGAAGCATGTGCATGTGAACTACCCAAACAAAATTTAGTATTAGTGTCTGTATACTGGAATAGAAGGGAGGAAGATACATTTTTGAATCAATTAAACCAAATTCTAGAGAACACTATGTTTCTCAGTCCAGTGGAACCCTATGAAATGAACTTTCTCATAAGATCGCTTAAAAACAAGAAAAGCCATGGCATCGACGGGATTCCACCTGTTCTGGTAAAATACTGCGCTGATGAACTAATACTACCTTTTTATAAGCTAATTAACCAATCATTTGAAGAAGGTGTATTAACGGATTTATTAAAGCAGGCTTTAGTTAAACCGATCCACAAGAAAAACGACAAAACTGAACCTGACAATTACCGCCCGATTGCCCTCCTATCGATAGCCTCTAAGCTCTTTGAAAAGGCTATGAGTAACCGCATTTATTCATTTTGCGAAAAATATAAAATATTTAATGACTGCTAATACGGGTTTCGTAAAAACAAATCGGCAAACTACACTGGCAGTTTTTAAATACATTCAGAAAGCTCCAGACATCTTAAATGAAAAACAATATGCAATAGGAATTTTACTAGACATGTCCAACGCCTACGACAAAGTGCAATTTGAAATATTATTGACTAAATTATATTGAATTGGAATACGTGGTACGGTCCATGAATGGCTTACATCATACTTGACAAACCGACAGCAGTTAGTAGAAATAGAATATTTTAATAAAATAAGCAATAGAATAGAACACATTCGATCAGACAAAATAAATGTTGCAGCTTCAATTCCTCATTGTAGTGTAATAGGATGCCTACTATTCCTCATATATTTTAACGACCTACCAAAAATAATAAACGGACCATGTGTTTTGTTTGAGGATGACATCTCTCTTTTAATATCGTGTAAAACTGACCTAAACCTCAACGAAGATCTAAACGTGTTACTTACCAAAACAACTGATTGGATGGATAAAAATAACCTCCAAATAAACTTCACCAAAACAAAAGTAATATCTTTCCATCCCTACCAAAAGACACCAATAGATATAAACTTCACATTTCGAGGAACAAAAATAGAACAAGTAAAGGATTTTAACTTGCTAGGTATCACTATAGATTCAAACATCAATTGGAAACAACATGTAAAAAACGTCAGAAGAAAATTATCAAAATTCGCTTACGCCTTGCGAGAAATCAAAAAGTCGACAGATTTAGCTACAGCACTTATCACCTACTACGCCTACGCCTTTTCTTGGCTATCTTATGGAGTGATATTATGAGGTAATAGTGCAGACGCAGCAACCATATTCACCTTACAAAAAAAGTTAGTAAGAATTCTAGTTAATATACAAGAAACAGATACTTGTAAACCTCATTTCTAGATATTGGGCATCCTAACATTACCCAGTATATACCTACATATTAGAAATAAGTAAATTTGTCCGAAAATACCCGGAACTATATAGTAAACAGGAAGACAAAGAAACAAAATTTTCCTTTAGACACAAAAACAGATTAAATCTACCCCCTTCTAGACTAATAATGCATTCTCGTGGTCCTTTGGTCATATCTATAAAAATGTATAATAAATTACCAATTGACATTAAAAACGAGACTACATTTAATACTTTTGTTAATAAATTAAAGTTATTCCTTATAAGCAAGTGTTTCTACAGCGTAAAAGAGTATTTGGAAAATAAATAAAATACTCTAAAATAATAAATTCTATAATTGTTATAACCAGATTAGACAAAATAAAAAAATTAGGATGAAATAATAGTGTCCTCTTTTCTTATGAAAAAATATATTTATTTATGACTACTAAAATAATAATAATTAATCAATCAAATAATTAAAATAACAACTAATAAATAATTAAAATAATAAATAACGGACAATATTTTGTTCTTTTATACACTATTAAATCAATTTTAAAATTATGAACAAATAAAAGTAACAATATTGATTATAATTAATAATATAATAATACATGACATGTATAGTTACCATGATTTTATCCTACTATATTAATTAAAAACAAAATATTCTACTGTATATGTGGTTGTGTTATCTTCCTCTCTCCCAAACAAACTGTGCTACGCCCGACAGGGTCCATAATTGTTGCCGCTTGAATTGTTGTCACCTATGTATTCACATTATGGAAGCAATAAAGTATTGAGTATAAACACACATACATACAGAAACCTACTGTTAAATTCGTGTCTTAGCTAGGCTACGGTCAAATAAAAACTTCGTTTATAAAATACTCGACACGTAATTTAATGTAATTGTAAATAATAACTGTATGCGCAGTCGCAGCTGGTTAGAAGCCGAGTGCCGGCGGCGATCCTCATTCGCGATGTCCCTCGCTGCGCCCCGCACGTCGCACCCTCGCCCGGACAGACCCGGCCGTGGGTGCGTGTAGACACCTACATAAATTTAATAAAATATTAAATACTCGGTCGGGTACTAGCGTTGTGGCTGTTCTGCCAATTCACTCCGCAGAAGATCACGCACTTTCCTCTTGAATGCAAGGCGGTTTGTAGACATCCTGATTTTCGCAAGGAGGATTCCAGAGTAGAACTGACTGGACGTAGAAGGAGGAGTTGATGAAGTTGGAGGCGTGAGGGGGGCATAGAAGCAGCATATTGTTGGTTGATCGAATATTTCGATCGTACATAAGAAACGGAAGGGTGGTACGAAGTATTCAGGTAACGATGGAGAGTTTTATTTATTTATTTGGGACAACTTAAAAAACATACACTAATACATAATTTACAGACATGTTTTACAAATATGTGCTAAGTGTTGTCTTACTTACAAGTTGCCACGGCATGGTAAGGGACAGTTACATCTAAGATTATACAAAGCAATATCTATAATAATAAACAAAACATACAGAACATCATCGAAATTAATTAGAGACAGTGATGTATTTAAAGTGGTCTAAGAAGGTCTAAATGACGCAATAACTTTGCTTTTAAATTTTGGAAGACTGTTTGAGAAGATGTCTTCATCAATTTCACGATTTTTCGTTATCCTATTAATCGTCAGCTTGTTATACGGGCTTAGTAATCTATTCATAGCAGCGTTCTATCCTAAGTTGGTTTTAGAAGTTTTAATTGAAAAAAGGAGCGTATTTATTGGCACGGAGAAACCTTGAGAGACTTTACATTTATTTACTCAATAAGAATGGGGCAGTCTAAGTCGCCATTAACTAATTTGTAAAACAAAATCTGATCCAATAACTGCCTACGATCGAACAAACTATGGAGAATAAAATGTTTTCAGCGACTTTCATACGTCGGCAGCAGTTTTACTTTATTGCACTGGGATAAAAGATGCCAGAGAAAACGCTTTTGGACACTTTCCTGACCAGACCTGAGCCTGAGCACAATATTCCAGACCAGATCGAACCAAGGCCGAAAAAAGTCTAATCTTAGTCTGTTGGCTTTTAAAATCTTTAGAGTTCCTTATAACAAAGCCCAACATCTTAAATGTTACAACATTTTTAGTTATGATTTTGTCAATGTGAGTGTGGAATCTAATTTTGCCATCCAAATCAACTCCCAAGTCCCTGACACTTGCAACCTCCTCCAATGTCCTATCATTAATGGTATATGTTTGCGAGTTGAAGTGAGTACTGCGTGAGAAACGTATATATTTACATTTGTCTATGTTCAGTGCTAAGCCATTTCTCCCAAACCAATCGAATAAGCAGTTCAAGTCTTTTTGCAGAAGGAAAGCGTCATGTTTGCTTTTTATTTGTTTTGCGAGCTTGAGATCGTCAGCGTAAAGAAAGCATTCACTGTGTTCGAAAAGTGGTATCATATCGTTTATAAATATGTTAAACAGAATCGTGCAGAAGAGTTGAGGAAAGAAAAGAGAGAAGCCAGTGCTCGTAAACTGCGGCGCTGACGAATTGGGAGCCATTGAAGCTGGGAACGTAAAGCAGACACGTGGTCATACTTGGGAAGATTGAAAACGAATCGAATGCAGTTAATGAGAAGGCGATCTAGTTTATTGAGAAGGTCTGCATTTAGGTCGAAATAACACACATCACCATAGTCGATTAAGGGTATAATTAAGGACTGCATAAGTGTAGCCTCAGTTTTAGCGGGAAGGAAGTTCTTCAAACTATATAAAGCACGGAGACATGTGGTGACTTTCTGGCTGACGTGTGTAACCTGTGCCCGCCAGTCAAGTGTCGAGTCGATATATAACCCCAGGTTCTTTACCACTACACTATAAGGTATAGTCACATTGTTGTTGACAACTGGTGGGATGACCGCCATATCCGGTTGGATCGACACTTGACTGACGGGCACAGGTGACGGGCTTCGTTCCCGGTCCGCGGCTTCATCAGATGGTGGCTCCAGTGTGTCGATTGACGCACTGGACGCTATGGATGTTGAATTCCGCGACACTGGGAGTCGCAAGCGTGGACGCTCCGGAGAGGAGGGTGTAGACATGCTGCCACCTAAGGTGGCCGGCAGCCAGCGAGGACGGTCGCGGACGCCGATCGCGAGGTCGCGTGCCCCTGTCCCCATCCCGTCGGGCTCCGCCTTCTCTGGGGCGGAGTCTTATAGGCGTGTCCGAGCGGACGGCGAAGCCGTAGCGGAGGAGGAGATCGCGGATCTCCTGCTCAAGATTCGGGAGCCGGTGGAGGGAGATGCCTCCCGGGCTCCCGTGTCTGTGCAGGAGAGGGCGAGAGCGGCGGTGGCTATCATCCACAAGGT